TAGCAGTCAAGAGATCAGACGACATATTGCATTAGGCAAATCTGCTGCACAAGATCTTTTTAAAGTGTTGAAGAGCAAAGATGTCAGCTTGAGGACTAAGGTGCTCCTGACCCAAGCCATGGTATTTTCAAAACCTCATATGCACGTGAAAAAAGGACAGTGAATAAGGAAGATCGTAGAAAAATTGATGCTTTTGAGTTATGGTGTTGGAGGAGAATATTGAAAGTGCCATGGGCTGCCAAAAGAACTAATAGATTAGTTTTGAAAGAAGTGCAGCCAGAGATGACCAAACTTTGTCTCTCATACTTTGGACATATTGTCAGGAGGGACCACTCACTGAAGAAGAATATCATGTTTGATAAAGTGAAGGGTCAAAGAAAAAGAGGAAGACCCCCAATGAGATGGATTGGCCAGGTGGCAGCATCAATGGACTCAAGCGTGGCAACAGTAGTGAGATTGGCTCAGGATCGGGCAGTGTTTCGTTCTGCTGTGCATAAGGTTGCTATGAGTTGGTACCGACTCGAAGGCACCTAACAACAACAACAAGGAATGAAGTAGAAATCTGGGTTAGGATTGTGCTATATCTATAGATTGCGTAATGTTGACATTTCCACAATTTTAAGTCTTCTTATCAATGAGCGGAAGTCCTCATGTGGTGCTGTGGGTTGATGCACTGAACTGCAAAGCTGGTTTGACTGCAAGCTTAGTGATTCAAGCTCACCACTCACCCTTATACAGGATAGCTATGGGTCAGAACCTACTGGATGGCACTTAACAACAACATATATGAGCATGGACTATTCTTCCATTTTTGTAAGTTTCTTTTGGTTTCTTGTAGTAGTGCTTTGTAGTTTTCTTTGTATATATCTTTTGTTGCTTTTATATATTCTGAAATATTTCATCTTTGGGGTGGCTTTCATAAATGGTTTCAGAGCTATTATTATGAATATAGCGGAATCCTACTAATTTTTTTATATTTGTCTTGTACCCTGGCATTATGCTGAATCTTCCAATGAGTTCCAATTTTTTTCTGCTGAGTCTTTGTGATTTTTTATATACAGGATAATATTACCTGCAAATATGGAGTTTTACTTCTTCTTTGCCAGTTTGGATGCTGTCTTAGATGGGGTGTTCTAGAGAAGAAAATAAATAAATAAAATAAAATTATATATATATATTTGTTGTTGTTAAGTGATAAGTGCTATTAAGTGCTGTCTAATCAATTCTGACTCATAGCAACCCTGCATAGGGTTTTTGAGGAGAAGCTGGTGAGCTTGAAATGCAAACCTTGCATTAACCTTGCAGTCTAGTGCATTAAACAGTGCCACCCAGTTATTATCAAGGAAATGACTTGCAATTGTAGAGTTCCAGGTCCCCAGAGTAAGAAAAAGCTAGAGCCTTTTCTACACATCCGTTATATTGGAAGCAGGCCAGACACCTCAAAACACTGATGAACTTGGAGGATATTACACGCAGTGAAATTGTTGTTGTTGTTAAGTGCCGTCGAGTCGGTTCCGACCCATAGCGACCCTGTACAGGGTTTCCGAGGGTGTAAATCCTTACGGGAGTAGAAAG